CTGTGGGAGAGCTCTCCCCGCCGGAGAGACCAGCCTAGCCCAGCTCCGGCTCGCAAAGCAGAGGTGTATGGAAGAGCAAGAGAAGGGATGCAGACGAGTGCAACGGAGGGCCCTGGGACAACAGCCTTGGGATGCGCACAGCTTGCTCCCTTGGCATGATGGATGCAATGGCAGTAACTTTTGTCCTGCTTTAAATGCTTTTCCAGCCCCTTGCCTGAGCAATGTTCCTTATCCTTTTATCAAAGATTAAAAATCCACAGTGGTAGACAAATAAGGAAGAAGCCCCCGAAGGAGGCATCGCTCACCAAGCAGCCTTGGGACAGAGCTGCAGCTCGCACGAGCCCCTGCCAGCCCGGGGCTTTGCCCACTGAGGCGGTCGCTGGTGAACGGTGGTGACGTGGCGTGGGACTGCCAGATGGATGAACACCCCAGCACCGGCTCTGGGTGCTGGCTGTCCCTGCTCTCCGGCCCCAGGCCATGCTTTAACGCTGCCATTATTCCATGGGATTAAACAGAAACCTCTGATTGCTGCCCCACGCCAGCCCGGCGCGTGCTGACCTGACGAACCGGCGGCGGTGGTACAACCAGAGGGGATACAACAACCCCTGCAGTGCTGGGCAGTGCCAAGCTGGAGAAGCAAGGATGGGGAAGGCTGAAAGCGAAACCCAGCCCTTGGCTCACACAGTGTTTTCAGGGAGGTTCGCGCTGACCCCCAGGTCCTGAGCAGGGCTGCAGGGCTCTGTGCGAGCCTGCAGCCCTTCCCACTGGTCCTGGCTCCCCACACTGACCCCCTGACGGGACGTGCCCAGCTCTTGCTGCAGCTCAGCTGTTGTGGGTGTGCAGAGCGGGTGGCTGTGGCCAGGGTTTCCTCTCTGGAAAGCCGTCGGCGCGGAGCTCAGACCCGGCAGCGGTGGCTCCCTCCCGCTAGCTGTGAGGGCTGCCCCGGCCCCTGGCCAGCACAGTGGTGCTCTGCTGGGGGGACCCATCCCTGGCCCCGGCACCGTGGCCTCACCGCAGACCCCGGAGATGCAGCTGAACACAGGAAAATTGCTGACCTGACCCCAGCCCTCACCGAAGCATCCTCTCCTCGCTGCCAGCAGGTCTCTTACCTGCCCGGGGCGTGAGGGTGACATTCAGCAGGTCCTTCATGCCGCACTGGGGCCCGATGGTGCCATTGTAGCTGGCGGTTCGAGCGCACAGCATGAGCCTGCAGACTCGGTCTGTGTCTGTGTTGTTGTTGATGACGGCGAAGACGTTGAAGTCGCAGCCGTTGTTTGCGCCCTCCGACAGCTTTATCTTGAGGTGCAGCCCCTCATCCTCCTCCCTGAGAGAGCTCTTCTTGTGCTCTGCCTTCGCAAACACTTCTCTCTCCTTCTCAGACCCTGCGGTGCATGAAAAAAACCCGTGGTTCCCAGGGGGGTACCAGGCGGGCATGGTCTGGGCTGCTTCGCCCTGACCCCTGGTACCCTCCTGGTGCAGCTGCTGCAATTAATTAATTGTTTCCCCACTCTGTTTCCCAACAGCCACCCCCCCAGGGCATCTCTGCCCCTGCTGCCGCCCCGTACCCTCGGGGTACTTGTAGGTGTGGGTGATGTCCTCCCTGCTGTCCCTGCCCACGCTCTTGGTGCTGATGTTCTTCCCCACGACCGAGGAGTGGGTGCTCTTCTTCTCCGACCCGTCACGCTGCACTACCCAGTACACCACGTCGGCGTTCACCTCCGCGAAGATGAAGGGGATGTCATACTTCAGCTGCAGGTCACCCTCCTTGATGGCTCTGACAGGGGCCGGCCCACAGCAGAAAACCCCTGCAGGGAGCAGAGGCACCGTCACCGCCCGGGGTTCAGCCACCGCAGGGGCAAGACGTGGTCGTGGCGGGGGGGGACCCTTGCCAGCCCCGGGCACGGGGGCGGCCGGACGACCCC